TCCATCCTCTTTGGAACCCCCCCTCAGGTAGTTGAAAGCAGCTATCAAATCCCCCCTCATTCTTCTCTTCTGGAGACTAAACAATCCCAGTTCCCTCAGCCTCTCCTCAAAAGTCATGTGCTCCAGACCCCTAATCATTTTTGTTGCCCTCCGCTGGACTCTTTCCAATATTTCCACATCCTTCTTGTAGTGTGGGGCCCAAAACTGGACACAGTACTCCAGATGAGGCCTCACCAATGTCGCATAAAGGGGAACGATCACGTTCCCACACCTGTTACAGCTTGAATCGAATAGCTCCCGTGCAAGGAACATGAGAAGTCCACTCATGAAGCTATCAGAGCTTCTACATTCAAGGTGAGGAATAAGGGAATTAGTAAATCTAAAACCCCTGCTTCTGATCCCCAAGACTGTGAATGTAGCAACTGGCTAGGAGTCTTATTGAGTGGAGGATCTGGAATGGGGGGGGGGGGGAGAAGAGGTCCAGTTCATGTCAGAACATTCACAAGCAAGGAAGTGTGAGGTCAGTGCTCAGTGTGTTTTTGTTTATAGCTCTAACATTTTACTACCTTATTTTAAAGGTGATGGGGTGGGAGAGAACTGTCTGAATTCTCCTTAACAAATGTAGAGTGATGCATTTCCAAACCTCTCTAACTTAATTTGTTTAGCATTTTCATAGGAAAAAGACCCTCTGTATTTTAATGTCCTATAAAAGATGTATTATAGCGCTGTGTAGAAGCAGTTATAAATGAGGTTCCTGCTTAGGAGAACTTAGTCTAAAATGATGTTTTAAAAATGATTTAAAGTCCTCCTTGAAGCATGGCCTTTGTGTAAAAATGCAAGTAAAGCCATGAGTGTCTTTCCTCCCTGTCCCCTAACTTAAATATGGCCAAACAGGTTGCTCCTTTAACTTGTGGGGGGAAATGTGAAAATAGCTCCTAGGCTTCCAACTTTTGTATGCCAAACTGCAGCTGAAATATAAACCCCTAGAAAATTGGATTCTATATTAAAAAGGCTGGTACAATCTTATCTGTAGAGACATTAATGCTGCTGCTTTAAAACCTAGTGAATGGGGAAAAAAATCTGGATGAAATTACCTCTTGCCACATGTTTGAAATAGATTGAATCACCTGTTAATTGATTCTGCTTTTATTTTAATTAGTTGCATGTACTGTGGGCACGGCTCTCTTTTGAATGAGAGAGTGGTGGTGATGGTGGGGAAATACAGGCATTGCCCTCTTACTCCACTTACTCCCGCCTCCACAAAATATGATCTGGATGTGCTTCATTTTAAAACCCTTGGAAGTGAAAGGGTTCAGTGTGCCTTAGCTCCCCTCCTGTGTCTCTGAATGATCACAGCTATTACATTACAGATGGAAGAATTAAAGTGTTAAGGATTAGGCTGGGAGTGCTAAAACTGCATTTCAGAGATCGCTGCTGCTTTTAATACTGATATATATGTTAGAGGAGCACCGCTCTGCAAGAACGCTGGCCCCCCAGGAGACCACCGCAGCAGCCTGAAAGGATGCATGGCCTAAAGGGACAACTACTACTGATGATTCGTTGCAGGTTAAAATCCTGCTGGAAAATATTTTTGATTTGGCTGGGTTATAAGTACCAGAGCTACTGTTAAGCTCTGAATCTAGGCCTCTTTCAGGCAACAATTAGAATGATAATATTAAAAATTAAAATAAAAAGACTTTGCCCACAGCAAATTATTTTCTTCCCTTCAGTGTCCTGAGCTGTTTAGAATGATGACTCATTCTTTTCCATGAAGTTTAAAGAAAAGAGAGATTTTGTCTGATAACGTACAAAGGCAGGTCTGTTTGTTCTTTGCCTTTACTCCTCCCCCTTCTTTGAAATGCAGTTCATAGGATTTCTGGGAATTAATTGCTTTATCAGAGGGGTGTTACTAGGTTTCATATGGGAAATTGTCCTCTTGTCCTCTGGTTAAGGTTTCATTGGAGGAAATTTCTCCCTTGAAATAGTGATCTGTGGGGACTAATGACAGTTAACTACTTTTTTCTTTCTTTTAAAGGACAGCATATAAGGGCACTCTGGATTAGAAAGTCACAGTTCCAGTACCTTTTTGGAAAGCATGATGGTCTTGGATGCCTGTTACAAGGCTCTGATTAACTGCCTCTGTGTCAGCATCACTTTGAGTTTCCGAAGGCCCCTTGTATTTTAAACAGCATAGAATTTCACATTGGTTATCAAACAGTCATGTGCTCCATAGGGAACTGGACTTAAAGCAGTAAGTCAAAATCGCTTCAGCAGCCTGTTCAAATAAACAGGGATAATAGATGAGACATTTCTTCTCGGAGTTGTCAGCAGCAAGAAAGGAAACATCTGCCTGGGCTTAATTGTAATTTTATTGGCTTCATTTTTTCAAGTACCATGGGCTGAGTTATGTAAATTGTATGCTTGTGCAAATATTACAGCCAGTTGTATAACAGAGCTTTCTCTTGTTCTCTCATGCTCTTGCTATAGAAAAAGTTGCTCAGGCTATCGGAGAACCAGTAAGCAGAGGGAAGAGGAAGATACGATTTTCAGTGGATGCATGAGGCAGGGATGGTGTATGGGTGGGATGTACATGCATAAACACACAGAGAATCCAGAAAATTTTAAGCAGTCTGACTAGACACTTGTCGAATATGCTTTTTGGTATATCTAAAAGCCTCAGTTTCTCATTTAAGCTTTCAGATTGCAGAGGGAATAAATTGCCACTTCTTGACCACCACAGTCAGATCCTGTTTGTATTGAAGTTGAAGGAAAAGCTTCCTTGAACTCAAAGGGAGCAGAAGCAGTGTGTGTTAGCATGTGCACAAATGTCTAATGCAAGAAGACTTAATGTGCACAGGTATCCTCTTTTAATGATGTGGATATAAGTAGGTGGTTCATTTGACAGCGTTAAATGCAGAGACTAGGCAACAGACTGTCTGAATGCAAGGTTTTGAAGTGTACAGGTCTTCCCACACTAATGTGCAGAATTACTATCTTATGTAGCCACCATTTGAAAACTTGACATTTGCCACTCTATAATGACCGCAATAGCACAGGCTACTTTTGGTAGCCACGTAGCCTGCCCTGTTACCCTTGATTCTGATATAATCGCAACACTATCTTGAAAAACCCAGGTAGCCAAACACCAAGCATTTGGTTGCTGCCTTTGCTGTAGCAATGGGTGAAGAATAAGCTTTGATCCATCTTACTTAGGAGAGTTGTGAATGTTGACAATGGGAAGGCAAGGGGATGAAATGCCCTTTTAAATGAAGCTGAGATGCTCATTGCTCTGTTTGCTCCTGTATTCCAGTGTTTAGCTACAGCCAAGAGTTTGACAGTGCAGCACTTTCATATGGCAGCTTCATCCAATCACAAGCCAGGAATGCCTGCCTGATGTCACCTGCCAAGGAATTAAAATAAAGACATAAAAAAAAAATTTTTTTTTTAAATTGACACTTGTCTGCTGGCTAGTTGGAACCTTAACCAACCTTGACAACTAATCATGCCTCTGTGCAACTCCCATTTATTTTTCGTGAGTTGTATTGCCTGGGCTATAACTGAGTAGCTCACTAGAACCAAGTGCCCCTTGCTAGGGTGTGATGTGTGCTGATACATTAAAATTGTATTGTAGTGCTTGCAGTTTAAAAATAGCTGATGGTGTTGTCTGCCGGAGTAAATCCCATGTCTGGCTTTGTAATTTGAGGGGGAAATTGGGGGAGTTAACTGCAGAGTTCATAAATAGAGTGGGTGGGGTTTCCTTTTTTATATCTTGGCATTACCACTGAATTCAAAAATAAGTGTCTAAGCTAGTGGGTTTTGTACACTCTTCCGCATGCAGTGCCTGCGAGCTGTGGCCGGTCAAAACATAACCACTTTCCTGGGTCTGGTTTTATTCACAAAAGGCATGCAGACTGAAACACACAAATAAGCACTTCTCCCCAACTGGGGTTCATCTCCAGGAATGCTCATCCCCCCCACCCAAGATAATAAAATAATATATGGAGATATACCTATCTCATAGAACTGGAAGGGACTCTGAAAGGTTATTGAGTCCTGCCCCCTGCCTTCACTAGCAGGACCAAGTACTGATTTTGCCCCAGATCCCTAAGTGGCCCCCACAAGGATTGAACTCACAACCCTGGGTTTAGCAGGCCAATGCTCAAACCCCTGAGCTATCTTCTCCCCTCCCCCCTTTTTAAATTTTTTTTATTTTTTTTAACCTTTCCAGAGAGCCATTTCCACCTTCTGTCCAGGTGCAGGTACCCATTGTCTCAGTGAGTCAGCCAGCGAGTTAAAATGAGGTTTAGCTCCTTGCTGTGTCTCACCAGCCTGTAATACTTGCAGAATCCCCTTTGAGCTCCCCCATTTAGTATATAATTGACATTCTCCGTATTGGCACCAACTACAGATGCTGCACTCTGTGACCTATGGAACTTTAAGGATAGCAAGGAGGAGAATAGGGCACTGAAGTAAGTGTGTGTGAGAGCAATGGCTACCATACAGGACTCTGAACTTCAGGTACAGCTATAGGCCGCTGCTTTCCCAGCGTATAGAGATGGGTTTTGTTAAGGAGTTAACAACACACTTGGTCTTTAACTGTACGTGAGTCTTTATGGAGTCTTGGGGGGTACACGTGCTACTGTTCACTCCTCTGGCAGTCATCTAAGCGCTCCTTGACACCACATAGCGTAAGCTTTCCCAGCCAGGCATTATTTGTCTCTCCGAGTGGGGCTTCTCTTTGTGCTAGCTGAGAGAGCCATTGGAAAAAAAGTGTTCAACCAAACCATCCCTCCTTTCTGTTTCGTGTCATTTGCCTGGCTGTATGCATAACATTTCATGGTATTAAAGCTGTTTGTGTAATTTGACCATAACTGTCTCTGAACTGAGCAGTTAAATGGTGCCTAATTGGGTCTAGATTATTAGCAGTGCGTGTGGCATGTTCATATCCTCCAACTATCCCCATTTTCCCTAATGGATCTCTGGCTCTCTTTTTGTTGTAGAGTAAAGAAGTCGGATTGCAGCTCCAGGAAGACTTGATGAAGGTCCTGAATGAGCTATACACGGTAAATCAGACTTCCTTCGTGAGTTCTTTTCATGCATAAGGAAATAAGTGTTTGACTTCTGCCTGCCTTCCTGCTGCTACAGCTGTTGCAGCAGAGACTAAGCCCTAGGGCTGATGCATGTCTACGATCTAAGTGATTTGAGGCAGCGTGTGTTCACCAGTCTATACTGTACCATTAATTTTATTTTCACTCCATCTTTATCCTTGGGCTGTATCTCTGTCTGATCTGTTGTTGCTAAAGAATGTTCCACGGGAATTATGGAAAGTATCACGTTTTGGGATACATTTTTGGTTGTGTACATGTTACAGTACTGTGGTTGTGAGCTTTTAATTTCTACAGCAAACAAACCCAACGCAATTGGCCCCATTCTCTCCAAATTGGGATGTAGTGCCTAATGTGACAGATCAGACTTTTCCACGCACTGTACCTTTTCCCCTACTTGAGGATTTATTGTAGATTTTCATATTTGGTTTATTTTCTAGATCCTGATTTCAGCAAGGTTTGTCTGCTGTGGGTTGAGGAGGAAGGGGATTTGCATTCCTGAATATGCCTATTATTAATATTTAACTCAGCATTTGGTTTCAGACAAAGCTCTGTACAGGACCTCCTCTCTAGGGATGAAACTCTGAAGCAGCTGAGATGCAGCCTTTTTTCCTGAAGGCTAAACAGTCTGTTGTAAATATGTTTTGTTTCTGTTTGAGATCTCTGGAATGAGGTGTCTCCATGCACAAGATTTTTATGCCCTTATTTTTAACAAAATCTCTCCCACAAATACATTTTTCTCATACATTTTTATTGTATCATTGTAAAATAGTATCACAAATGTGCAGGTAATCTCTAAATGCAAGTGTAGGTTATTTAACTTCTCTAATGCAAAGCATAGTAACCTTGACAGTAAGTGATGTCTGACTTCCTTCATCCCAGAAAACACTAGATAATTCTCAGTACCCTAAGTTGTGTTTTACTCTATTAATTTAAAAGAGCACACATTTTGTGTGCTACAAGTAGTGAACCCAGGAGAATAGGGATCCTAATTTTGGGTGTACCATATATTTATATAGCACTTATCCAATTCTCTGGCTGCTGCATAAAAAATTAAAAGCAGTATAACTCATAATTCAAAAGACCATAAACAGACATCCCCTTCCTCGCCACGGCATTTTCTCACAGCTGCTTAATATACCTTTCTTCTGTAATTATATTTATTATAAATACATTTCTCATCCCAGCATACTCCAGTGATGTCCCCAAATCTTCACTTTGGTTGACAAAGGGTGGAGGAGAAATTTGCAATGACATGGACACTGTACCGCTAACCCAGGGGTCGGCAACCTTTCAGAAGTGGCGTGCCGAGTCTTCATTTATTCCCTCTAGTTTAAGGTTTTGTGTTCCAGTAATACATTTTAACGTTTTTAGAAGAGCTTTTTCTATAAGTCTTTAATATATAACTAAACTATTGTTGTATGTAAAGTAAATAAGGTTTTTAAAATGTTTAAGAAGCTTCATTTAAAATTAAATTAAAAGGCAGAGCCCCCCGGACTGGTGGCCAGGTCCCGGGCACTGTGAGTGCCACTGAAAATCCGCTCACGTGCCGCCTTCGGCACATGTGCCATAGGTTGCCTACCCCTGCACTAACCCATTCCTCTTTACCAGGAAGTAGTTGTCCACGTCACAACATGCAGCCTTTGGTATGTTTCTCGGTATCAGTTTAGGAGAGTCTATGACTGGTGCAACAGGGAGGCTGAGGTTTTGAAATGAGATGTTTTGGCAGAGCTGTGTGGGTAAGCCGCTTCCATTGCCAGCCAACATCATATCCAGCTTTCAGCTAGTGTTGCCTGTATTTTTTCAGCATTCATAATGATGTGGAACCAGGCTGCAAAATCTGGTTCTATATCAGTCTGTTCCCTTTTCCCCACCTCTGACACAGACTTCTGCCAACCTATAGTGCTGTAAATTAGGGCAGCCCTTTCCTTAGCCTTGAGATAACAATTGAGCGCTGCCAAAAGGTTGTGGTACATCAGTTAGGGTACATCTACAGTAGAACCTCAGTTAGGAACTGACCGGTCAACCACACCTCATTTGGAAACAGAAGTACGCAATCAGGCAGTGGCAAAGACAAGAAGGGTCGGGGGGGGGGAAGCAAATACAGTACTGTACTGTTAAATGTAAACTGCTAAAACAATAACGGGAAGTTTTTAAAAAAAGATTTGACAAGGTAAGGAAACTGTTTCTGTGCTTGTTTCATTGAAATTAGGATGGATGAACCCAGCATTTTTCTTCTGCATAGTAAAGTTTCAAAGGTGTATTAAGTCAATGTTCAGTTGTAAACTTTTCAAAGAACAACCGTAACGTTTTGTTCAGAGTTACAAACGTTTCAGAGTTATGAACAACCTCTATTCCCGAGGTGTTCGTAACTCTGAGGTTTACTGTACACTTGGGGGGAAGCCACAGCAGTAATTCTCAGAGCCCAGGTCTATGGACTCAGGCTCGTGCTATGGTGCTAAAAATAGCAAGGCAGACCTTCCCACTCAGGCTGGAACTTGGCTCTAAAAGCCAGCTTGGGAGGGTGGGTTTCAGAGCTCCAGCCTGAGTGGAAACACCTACATTACGCTATTTAGCACCATAGCACGAACCCTAGTTTGTAGACCCAGACTCTGAGACTCACTGCTGTGGCTCTTTTATGCACGTATGTTACCACAGAAGGTCATGTGTACTGCTCATCTGGTCCTAGACGTGGAAATTGGAGTGTCTCCTGTTGTCACAGGTCTAGCCTTTGAATTCTTTTTAAAGTAAAGAGTAGTTGAGAAGAAAACTGTAGGGTTGGGGATGGTTTTAAAATGCTGGATAAAAGTACTACTGGTAGAACATACAGCAGTACAAGTCAGATGGTGGCTGATGGGTAACTGCTGTTCTGGCGAAGTATTTCAGTGCTGACAGTGATTTTGCCATTAAAACCTGAGTGTGGGTATTGTTCCCTTTCTTGGTAGCTTGGTAGCTGTTTGTAATTGGGATTTGGTGGGATTCAATGCAAAAAGTCAGGACATGGAGATGAGATTTGCTGATTTAAACACAAACGTCCTTTGAGCGATGCAGTTAAAGAATTTTTTGTTCTGGGACGTGAAACTCAGATGACTCAATTTGTTGGAATCCAAAACTGGATAGTGGTCAAAGTTGATAATACTGTGCAATGTCTACTCACAGCCAGACTCCTCCAAGAGTCCAGGGGGAATCCCAAGAAGTGGAGCATTTTCAGAAACTCCAAATGTCTTCCTTTTTTATGAATACTAACTTTGAAATTGCAATGCCCTTGGGGGAATCCATTTAGGGACCCAATTGGGACAGCCCTTCTCTTGGGCCTTGCTTGGTTGGAGGCATCCCAGTACAGTCAAGTACTGGCTGCTATTGGGCAGGGGTGGTGTCACACAGTTCACGACTCAAAGCTCTGGCCAACCTGGGGATTAGCCCCCAACCAATCTGACTCCCCCTCCTTCGGTTTCTCCGCCTGGAGTCTCGCGCTGTATCTCTCTGGAGTCAGGTTACTCCCTTTTCATCACTTAGGGTCTTCCATTCGGCCAAGTCGCTGTAGTCCTCCTCTTCTGGGATCAAAGTCCCACAGGACACTCCGGCAGTCTTCTGATCCACTACCCAGTCTGTGCCACTTGCCAAGCTGCTAGCAGGGGAACCTGGGTCCTTCCACTACTCAGCACCGGGAACCTTTGCCCAGCAACCACCATCTGCTCAAGCTCCAGACTTGTTGCTGTTTCCCTGGGCTCTTCCCTATCTTCAGGCTCCCCTCTGGGTTACTCTTGGAGCTTCCTGTGCTCCTTGGGGCTGTTTCACCCCCGGCGGGTTCTTGCCAGATTCTGTATTCCAAGGCAGGATCTCAGGGCTCACCCCCCCCATAAACTCCTGACCTATTGCCAACTCCCCTCCACTTCAGGGAGTGACAGTAGCGTTCTTCCCTTCAGCCCTCTCTTAACACCAATTTCCTTCCTTTATGCCTAGCCCAGCTCCTCCCTCAGCTGGGTTCATCAGGTGTTGGGCCTTATCAGCCCCAACTCTCCTCCACCTGCAGCCTGTCATGGGGTAATTGTCCCTTTTTTTACCCAGGCAGACTTTGTATGGGATAGACACCCCATCATAGGTGAGTAAGTATTTAAATGAGGACCCCCCCGACTTTGGAAAGTCTTATCACAGATTTTCATCCGAATACCAGAATCACAGCTTTTCTCTCACCATGCAGACATTTTCTTCTTGACCCTTTCATCCTAACACCTTTACATTTCCTATCTGGAGCCCCGTTCTGCCTTGATAGTTTCCCATTTCTTTCATTTTGTTGTTTTAAACTATCTTTATTTAGGAAGTTTTAACAGGTTTACAAATCCTAGCCATGTAGATATCAGAGACAATGCAATTATTACCACAGTGAGCTTTTGTTTAGAGAAACATTATACAGTAATGTAATTATTGGATCTCTCTAACAGGGTGTTTCCATGTTACACAGTAGCATCTTCATACTACTCAGGACGTGTCATTTCTAGTGATTTTATTAAAATTAGTGAATTCTCTGATTACACATTTAACAGACCGTCCGTGTCGATCAAATGTTGATATTCCAAAAAAATAATTGACAGATGTTCTGGGTTTTTGCAGGTGAATGTATCTGGAGTATTAAATGATAACCAAACATATAAGTACCTATTTGTCCTTTATCTAGTTTGCTGGGTATTTAACCATTTATCTGTGGTTAAACAGAGGTTATCAGTATCTGAGCAGCTTCTAGCAGATGAGATTAACCTTTTTTTTTCCCCCTTGTCTGACCATTTCCTCTAGGAAGCCCCAGGAGGTTTTACCTAAGGATCATTTGGTAACAAATATCCAATAATTTGTGATATTTGGTTAAAATTACATCCCGGTACTGTATTCTTCAATGACTGGACATTACCCTATATACATAAAATCTCCTCATTAACCACAATTTCTCCAACATTTATCCCCCA